ATTTTTTTTATTTTAATTACACAATATGAAACAATCATCTCACATCCCTTATCTCACCTCACCTGCATGCCATACGATTCAAATTTAAGATTTCTTACTTTCAACAAAAAGAGATGACTATTGAGTTATTTAAGTAGTTGACCTTAAAAATATAAATTAAAAAAACCCTTTTAATATATTCTTATGTTGTGCACTTAAAGAAAAGTTAGACAAATCTTATATATAATTGGTGTTTTGTACGGATTTTTTCTCACTAATCTTAATTAACAGCTAAGCATGCGTGCTTTCCCAATAAATTTAATGATTTAATTTAAAGGATTGTCTTTATAGAGTGGTACGAGATTAGAGATCTCACATGATTTCTTTGTTTATTGCATTTTAATTTAATTTGTTCAAGTCTTTTCAGAAGAGATTAGGGTACAGGGTTATTGATGCTGTGGGGTTATAAGCAGCATTAATTTAGAAAACCCCTTTTGTTTGTTTATTAATTGGAAGAGAATATCAAAATCAAAAAATAATTGGAAGAGGATATCATGACATTCTTCTATGTTTCTAGAAACCTAGCCTTTTATAACTCGGCCGAGTTAACTAGGTCTTTTGAGGCCAATAGAGTAACAGTTAGAAAGAATCTTTTCTTAAAAAAAATGATTTTTCTATTCTATATCTTGCTTTTATAGTTCAAGATAAGAGTATATTTATTTTTTTTATCATTAATACATATAAAAAAACTAAAATTAATATTAATTTTATTAATTATTCAGTAAAAATATTCATATGTCATCAATGTTAAAATTAATATTAATTTTTTATGTAAAATAATACATAAAAATACATTTATGCCTCTCTTAAGGTCACAATTTAGACAAATCCTAAAAGAAAATCACTTTGAAAGTCTAAATTAAGAAAAACGTGAGACCAGACATGAGATGACTAAAATTTCCATATCATCTCAGCTTTAGAAGAATGATGAAATAACGTTTTAGTCATTCCATGTCCTACGTTTATTATTATTTTTAATTTGGTCTTAAATGCCTTTATCAAATGGTTTTTAGTTTGGTTGGGATTGTTGTAAAGTATTAGAATTGTGAATTTTTGAGTATTTTATTATTATTATAAAAATTATTAATTGATAATTATTTTAAAAAAATATTATACATTAATACAATACAAAAAAAATTCAATTAAAGAAATTTAATTATAATAAATTAATATTTCATAGAATATTATGTAAAAAGGGGTAATGGTAGGTTTACCCAAAATTATCCACACACTTCGTTACACTCTTCGATTTTTGTTATTTTCTACTAATTACACTTAACTCCGTTACCATCCTCTTCATTCATTATCTTCTTCTCCGTCTTGATACCTATTTCCAATCAAAACCTCCTTCCAGTGATGCAATCCTTTGGCTAAAATCTCTCCATAATCAATTCAAAAGTGGTGAATCGCTACAATAAGGTTTGTTCCTTTGGTTAAAATTGCATTTTTTCCTGAACTTCTATCACCTGAAACTTTAATCTGAAGTTTTTATTTTGTCTCCATTTTTTGACAGTGAATTAAATGCAAAATGCTAAGTAGCGGTGGGATTTGGTCTGAGTTCTTCAGGAGAACCTAGGTCGAGAACTTGAGAGAGAAAAAAAAAAAAAAAAGAAAGAAGGTGGGAACCTAGTAAAGGGCTAGCAATTGTTTTACAGATGATTAGGATAAGGATGAAGGTGAAGAGGAAGATGGATGTGGTGAGAATGGAAAGGGTTGGGTGAGTTGGCAAACCATTAGTGTATATAACGAAAACTGTTAAAGTGTGTAACAATAGTGTGTAATGGATGGTATGCATGAATCAGCGTCTTGTAAAAAAATATTATAACACTATAACCCAAAACACAACCCTTGTTTTGAAGGAGGAGATATTTTGGCTTGAGTCAGAATTTCACTAGGAGTGGACTAAAATAGAAACAAGTAACTTGAATTAGTATGATTCCCATATCTTGATATTGGGACTAATATATATTTCAAAGATTGGCTTGGATATTTTGGGAGCAAATGTGGAAGAAGATTTTATCTTTTACAGTAAAGCATGTGGATATGATTTCATGCCAATTGCTTTCATGTATGATTAACTTAACCATTCATCTGCAAAACTTTTTGAAATGAGAGAGAACCACTAGCTATGCAATTAATTCTTCCAATTTTTATCCCTGTTTGGTTCATTAGAAAAACAAAGGGTAAATTAACCAAGTGCAACACAACAAAATCAGAAAAAAAAAATATGAGTGGAATTGATACTTTAAGGGCATGTTTGGCTACAATGGACTCTGAAAAAAATATATAGGGAAGTTGAAAAGAAAAGTTAATGCAACTTAGTTTAGAAAACTAAATTTTTTAGCACACAAATGGAGGCACAATATATTTAATTATAATAGATTGTATAAGTGATTATATGACTATACAATTATTATAAAATGTATATAATTAATTATAAAAATATAATCACTTATTTTTAAAAGATAATTTATTACAATCACTTTTTAGGCAAAACACCTTTAAAAATGTTTTTAAGAAAATTGACATATAATTAGCTATACAATTCATTATAATCAATTATATTATACCTTAATTTGTGTGTTAAAAAATTTAATTTTCTAAGCCAAACTAAACTGATTTTTAATCAAAATTTCCAAAATTTTTTAAGGAAAACTTAGAAACAAACATGCCCTAATTAAATTTGTGAAGTCTAAACCTCAAAATCAACTACTATTTTTTTTTTTTTCTGAATAGGAACAAATTTGGAAGAAGGAGGATTCAAGTGAGAACACACATTTCTTAAAATTTATAACCAATTGACCTTTTAAGTTAAGTGTTAAAAAAATTAACTATTATTTGTTCTAAGACATCACTAATAATAATATATTACCTCTTCGATCCATTTAATAAATTAAGTTTATTTTTTTGATCTAGACGATGAGTCAATTAATTTACCTTTAAAAAGTTGGTAATTCTTAATAAGAAAAGTATTATATAGTTTAAATTGTATATAGTTATACAATTATAGCTTTTAAATGATAATTAACCCTTGATACAAAACCTTTTTAATTTAATAATTTTTATTTTATAATTTAATATAATTTTTATTAATAATAAAATAATAAAAATTTATTTTTAATTCTAAGTTCAACTCAAATCACTATGCAGCATACTTTGTCCTTTTTTCTGAAATTTTGTGTGTAAAAAAATTTTCGTGGCAGAAACGTCACAAAGATAAAAATTAACAGACTATTTTAACCTTGTTTATACTTTAATTATTGCAAAGTTGTTCAATCTTGATCACGGGGGAATTCCAGCACTAATTCCACAATAAATAAATTAATTATTAATTCCGTAAGAATGATAGCGGAAAAGTACTTTGGGGAGCAAGCAACACAAAAATTCTTGTGATTTTTTTGGCGTTACTTTGTTGAGAGTTGACACCAAAAAAATGACCGAAAAAAAAAAAAAGTAACTATAGCATCTTATTGTTTAATGAAAATAGTACTTATCAACCTTATCTCTTAAAAATTAAGAAAAAAATTATTATAAAATTACATTGTTTTAATATATTTTTATTAAAAAAAAGATTAAACTACTTTATTTTTAAAACATGCATTAAGGTGATTTTTGTTTTTTTTTTCTTTTTAATTTTTAGAGATAAGACGGACAAACACTAACCCCTTGTTTAATTTTAAGCAATTCATCTTTTTTTTTTTATTTTAATTGCACAATAAAAGACAATTATCTTTCATCATTTATCACATCTTACCCGCATACCATACGACTCGAACTCGGGATTTCTTACTTCCAGTGGAAAGAAATATTCCTGAGTTATTTAAGTTGTTGATATCATTTTTTTAATTGTTTCTATATTATAAGAATAAACTTTTAAAAAAAAATAATAATATGTGTATTCAATTTTTGGCCTAATTTGTCTACAATTTTCTTAACGTATATAAATATCAGCACCTAAAAGATATATAAAAAGAACTCAAACTTACATTTCACAAATTTATCATGGTTCATGTCACTTTTTATTATTTCAGTCCTCACCTTATTTCATCTTACGCATGCGATTATGCTTAACAGCTACAAGATTAATACGGGCTCAAGCCTTAATCACCATCGGTGAATTATATATAGTTTTCTTGCATGCGAAATCTCGTCAAAAAGGAACAACAAAAACATCAAACAACTGCTATAAGATATTCTTAATTAAAGAACTAATGTAATGGGTGTTTAATTGTGATTAGAGTATACATATGATTAATTAATCTAAAGAACCCACTAAACTAAAGAAATTAATAGTTAGGTAAGCTGGAAATTTGATGAGTTGGTGATCATCCCATATAGTGTTGGGCAAAACATCAGCAAATTGAACTGAAAATGTTTGACTTCAAAGGGTTCATCTCC